CGAATCTTCGATAACACCAACAAATAACGCGATTGCGTCAGTTCAAGCTGAATTAAATCAGATGTCACTACGCAAAACGCCACCTGTTAATGCTGTCAATGATGATCTGAAAGCACAAACTGAAGGTACCATGAAATGGTGTCAACAGCTGAAAGAACAGGTATGCTCAGTTTTGCTAGAGGTTTTTTTTAAAATCGAGTTGCTCGTTTTCAAATAATCTGATGCGATAATCAGGTGACTATCATGGAGAATCGCATTCGATCGAACAATGCTAGGGGCCGTTCTGTATTGAATGACACTGCCATACAAGGGCTATTTTCCACTCTTACTGAATTCCATTCGCAAGTATTGGGTGCACTTACGAAGTTGGAGGAAGAAAGAAGTAAGATTTTGCTGTACTAGTACCTGAGTAACTCGTCCTGCTTATATTTGAGTTCAAATATTTACAGCCTATTACGAGTCACTACAAGACCATCTTGGTCATATCAGTGAGGCTCGTTTAGCTATTGATGAACTTCGGTCTGAGCATGAAAGAAGACGTCAAGAACGTCTTGCAGAAGAACAGAGAATGCGTCAAGCACAAATGAAACAAACATTGGAAATGATGCGTATGAAGAAACACGTGAGTGCTCAAATTTGTAAGTTTTTTTTTTGCAAAACATTCTTTTTTCAGGCAATGCTTATGGAACAGCGTAACATGGCTTTGCAATGTTTTCAGAACCAGGAAATGCAAGCACGACGGAATCAGGTGTGTCTTTGCTGATTTTCAGGTTGTAATAATGTGATTTTCTCAGCGATATATAAGTTCTTGCCTTTTTTTCCAAATTGAAGAAACTCCAAAAGATCGAAAGTTTTAGCAAAGCGTTATACATCATTTGAATGTAGAAGTCCCTTTCTACAAGTGGTATACACCATTTTCCAACAATCTTGGTTTGGAAATGAGAAATGGTTGAAATAAGATTTTCAAAGGGCCGAAAAAGCTAAGTTGACAGGTTTATATCTCTAACTGCGAGCAACTCGGTATTCATAGTAAATTAACTAGATTGAGCTCGTAAGTAAGCTATCTTGTTTATCACGCTAATTACGAAAGTTATATCCATTTTTAGCTATAGGATCTTATTATAGGATTTTAGGTATACGGTGCAGGGTCAAAATCACTGAGTTGTCTGAAAAGTAGTCTATTGGAATTAACTGACATACTGATCACAAATTAAAGCCATCTCGTGCGGTAGATTTAAAGTTGCTGAAAGTTTCCTTTTTTCCTCAGTTTTGACCGTTCTATCTCATAGTTATACTAATTCTAAAAGGTTATCGCGCGAAAAGGGAAAGGGTTTTGTAAGCAGCATAGCTATCAACCCGACTGCAAATTTTTCGGGCAAATCTGTGGTTTGGACCTCTGCAGCATATATGGAGCGCAATCCTATAATGAGGCTATATAGTGGATAATCAATATGATTTTTGCAGTATGCACATCTGATTACTCACAAGGTAGCACAGCATTCCTCAAGCTTTTGCATTCAAAAAAA